TCATTTGAACAAACAAGTGTCAGACTTACTAACAAACTGTTGGAGTTTGATCAACTGAATTGGCCTTTTGGTTTTTATGAAAACATCCCAGACATATAAAGGACATTGAGCAACAACCTCAATATTTCATTTTCCAACCAAAATGCAGTTCGTTTTTTTGTCTGCAACAGGTGGATGTTTTATGCTTAGTAAAACACACTTTGTTCACCCTTGATGCCGCAGCGATTTTACATTACAGCCACTTGCCTGAAACACACACACATACACACACACACACACACACACACACACACACACACACACACACACACACACCCTTATTAAAAAGTTAGATGAACATTTTTGCCACGGTCGTAGTACAGGGCGGTGGTGGCGAAGTCCAAAGGCACTTGGCTTGGCAACCTGAAGGTCACCAGTTAAAGTATCGGATAGACCAAGTGCTACCAAGGTGTCCCTGAGCAAGGCACCGTTCCCTACACTGCTCCCCGGGCGTCGTACATAATGGCAGCACACTGCTCCTAACACTAGGATGGGTCAAATGCAGAGAAACCGTTTCTGTACTACGTAATGACAATAAGTTGAATCTTCAATCTTCTTCAATGTACCCCTTTTTAAATAAGTTTCTCTCAATAAGCTTTAATATGTAATATAGACTTGTATAGTAGGTTTATTTTTGGGATTGGTGGCTTTTCAGCTTAAAAAAAGACCAATAGTGTTACCTCTAAATACCATGTTTGACATCAACATTCATCTCTGTATTAATTCCTTATTTAACAAAGTAGCTTATTCGTACCATCATTGACCTTGGTGCGTCACAGTTGGTCATCATTTATCTTAGCTATACAAACTTTCCTGTCAAAATGGATTTGCCCAACTCTACTGCCCAAAATGGTCACAACATGTTTTGAAGCCCACGCTTTACCAAACACTGTTACCTAAGTTGTCTGTTGACAGCGAGGACAGATTGTAGTGAACTTAACAAAGCAGATTCTCCAGCACTTGTTTGACTGCGAGTGTGCTCCTCTGTCTCCCTGCAGGCATTGTTTCTATGTGTGTGTATCCCTTAGGAGTTCCTGTGCTGGAGTTTTCTAGTTTTGTGCTTTAGGCCTCAGCACTTTGTATGATTGATGCTCTCCTGACTCACACCCACTATTATGTTTATTATTTGTCTGTTTCAATGCAGTCACTCTAGGGGAAACAGAAGCTAGAGACACAGGGCTGACACCATCTGCATAGTACACCCTGAACAGTCTCTCACACACCAGAGACGGAGAAATACTTACCTGTTGGCCCATGTATTTGTCAATTTGTCAATCCATGACCCAAAATGATAGGGGTTAATTGTTAAGCACTCCCTTCTATACATGCAGTCAAAGCTGTGACCTGACTGCTTTTGAGCCAACAGTTAAAGACAGACTTGTTGCAAATCATGCCGAGGGCAAATGATGGATTAAATAAAAAGGACATACAGTATGTGAAACATTGATAAAGAGTGGGTTTTTGTGAAACGGTAGCAAAGTGAAGGGACCAATGCTAGGCCAAACTAGACACAATGCCTCTGGGCTGACAACACACCGGGATCTGGTGAAAGCAGAACAGCCTGCAGGGAACAAAACACTGAACTCTACCTCACTGCCTCACACACACCACACATTTACGCAGACATTCTCTAATACAAATACACGTAGCCTACCTTACTGTCCTTCATTCAATACATGATTGCTAATGTAGGTTGCGTGATGCATGTTTTTTCTGCTGAGCTATTAACACGGGACTATGGACTATGAAGTGATGGATAAAGCACAGCGCCTGCTTTTTTATAGAATACATACAAACAAATTAAAATGCAGATTGGGAGAGTATCTGCTTATTTTGTCATCACAACAACATTCATAAGATTGAAATAATTTACTAATGATAAATAGTAATAAAACTGGTAAATATAATGAGTTAGATTTCTTTAAATTGTTTTATTTATTTTTAGTATCTTAGTGAAACGCTTAAAGGCTTCGTCTTGTCAGGGGTGTCAAACTCAATTTCATCACGGGCCACATTAGCATTATGGTTGTACTCAAAGGGTCGGTTGTAACTTTAAGACTATATAAATATATAATATAAAATAATGTATTATATTACAATTACAATATTGCCTCTGCATTGGATTATTATCGGATAGGGTAATAACTTCATAATTAACTACGTCTGAAAGCACAGTGGATTTGGCCCCCGGGCCTTGAGTTTGACACCCCTGATCTAGGTCCTAACTATCTAAGGGGGTAATGGGAGAAAATAACTCACTTCCTGCATTAGTGGCCTAACATTTGGTGGTGGTGGTTTGCAAAAATCTGCTCCAAAGTCATATTTAGTGGATGTTTAACTATAGAGTAAAACTGAAATCTGTATTGGTAAATCAGTGCTCAGTTCATAAAAAGTATACTGACATTTCAGATGATATTAAATTCACAATACTCAGGTAAAAAATGACATTACTGATATGTTAAACATAGCCTGTATGATTGGAGTTGAACTGTTACCTAGTGATAACAACACTGAATACTGTTATGAGTTTTCATTTCCTTACTCAAATGTAACTTAATGAAATGTTATAAAATCACACGAAAGACCAATAATACCACACACGCTTTCTGAAGCTGACATATAAACACGGTTATGCTACATGTGGTAGCTGAATGTAAATGTCACATTCCCAACTAGTAACTCATCAAGTTCAACGGTGGTACGAGAGAGAGGCGGGGGCTCACTTCAAACAAAGCCGAGCGCTGATGAAAGCGTCGCCTCGATGGCACAAGCTGCAACTTTCATTTGTTTAGCGCGAGTGCTGACAGATCTATCACTCATAAGCATCCTGGAGAGAGTGAAGGAGGAGAGGAGAAGAAATTAGGGACAAACAGGAAGGGGGGGTGGGACCTTCAGACATTTAGGCTGTGTGTATATTTTCTTTATTATATAATAACTGCCGCTTGTTCAGGAACACTTAGGTTTTCCAAGTATTTATAATAATATAATACACTGCCGTTTGTCATATATTGATTATTTTGTATATTTACATTTGCTGTAAATACTTGTCTTAATTCTCTTTTTAATTTTAAGTAGTATTTTAAAAATATTTACTTTTTTACAATCATTACATTTTGACCTCTTACAACTTATTGTCTTATGTTGTTTATGTTTGCACCACCATACACCAAAGCAAGTGCAGTAAACTCGATTCTGATTGTCAGTGCCTGAATCCGTCGGTATCTCCGGTAGCTGTCATTAAAATGTGGCCACCGTCACTCATCACAATATCATATAATATTCAGCTGTAAACATGCATGTACAGTACATGTAAGCAAACCTCCTTTGCATATATGTCCCCTGCTTTTTCTCTACCCGCCACACACCCATGCCAACTACAACAGAGCTTTCAGTCGCAGCATGCATACATTATCCCTCGTCTTGGGATCAACATATTAATCAATGATAAAAACAGTCCTTTGCGCTCATCATCAACGCCAGTGTTTGATCTTATCCCGCGCTTTAATCTCGTCTTATGTGGAGAGCCGTGCCTGTTGAGCACGAGGAGCATTGCTGTATGTGCATCACAGCCCTCTTAGCTGTGGACAAGTTTACACTGATTGTTTCATGTATCTAGGCCTGGGCTCCTGACGCCTGCGATGCTTTTGAACCTGGTCTTTTGTGTCCTCCAACAGAGCTTTTGTTCTACATGAAACAGACTATGTATGGTCAGCGCTGAGCTCCTGTACAACCCAGTGTCGGCTCCACCACGTGCTTACACACACAGTGTAGACATGTTGGCATGCAGACCCATACTTTTGTACAACAACATGTAAACCAATGCACACACATATTGGTGAGTGTGTGTTGGTGGACAGGGTTTTTTTCCTTCTCTGTACTACGACATCCTACAAGAGAATCTCAATTATAAGAGAGACTTCAGAATTAAAGTTTAATCTCGCTGTAGCACCATGGCCCCTTCCAGGAACATCAGAGCGCCGCTGTTTTCTTTTTAACTACACCACCATGTCAGCTCTCTCTGAAGGATTAACTTTACTTTTATTTAAAAGAAATTTAAAGTAGAGTGGAACTTGCTGAATATATAAGCGGTTGTCCACACAAACAACCAGGCTTGTATATAACATTGATACTCAACTCCTCTGTTTACCCCAAATGTAAAAAGGGAATGTAGCTGTCTTTGTCTGAGTTTCTCAACCAGAGCGACTTCAAATGAATTCAACGGTAGACTGGGTTTTAATTTATATATGCAAACAATAGTAAAGTCTGTTTGGGTCAAAGCCGAAGCACCCAGTCATCAGATCTGTGAGACAACAAAGTACACATCTGAGAGAAAAATGTATTTTCTCTTCAGAGAAAAATAGGATACATGTCGTATACAATATAGCATTAAATGATTTTAGTGCTGTCATTGTAGTTTTAAGAGAATCCTGACAGTACACTTGTGAAACTGACATGCCAGTTAAGGCTCATTTTGATTTGACACAATTGTTATTTTTGAATACATCTCACGCTGAGCTTATTCTGTCTAAAATCTTGTCAAATATCATTATTTAAACACAGATAGCTGTCCCTGTTCACAAGATAACTGCAATGTTTCTGCCACATTTAGTTCACCTGTTTTAATATACTGAATCAGGAATCATGGAAACAGAATTACAAGTGAAACATAAGACACAAAGTAAGCCTATGCGCTGCCCTATAAATCTGTTTCTTAAAAGCGGCTCGGCGACAGCGGCAATGCGGGTCTTTGGTTGTTTTCCTGTCTGATGTGGCAGAAACTTGGTCGCTCTTGTTCTGGTGGTAATGTAACAAAAGCTAATACCAGGAGCCTTTGTGCTTGGATGTGTTCGAAATAAATGGAAAGAAAAGGAGGACAGCAACATATTCCCCCTCAAATGCGAGGGGTGGTGCAATGAAAAAGTAAATGAGCATCCTAATTTTGCGGCCTCTTAATTTTTCAGCAGACGTGATGAAGTGACGTTCGACTGATGTTTCCTGAAAGTGGCAACACGTGTCCCTCTTACCCGGCTGCTGCAGTCCTCTCGTCTACAGATGTGTCGCTTGATGTACCCATCGAATGGCACACTGCCACTTAATAAAATATCGCTCTTGCTTTGACAGCGAAGCCTTAATTGAGTCCCTCGTCAGTTTTATCAAACTGTGTGTTATCGTCGTTTGAAACTTGTTTCCCCTTTTCCCTCTCTCTTATGGAATATGCTAGCAGTTGAATCCTCAGTAACCGAAAGAGAAGGGGGTGCGGTGTTGAGAAAAAGAAAAAGGCGAAAGAGAACAACACTGGGAATGAAAGGGAAGTAAAGAACAGGAGTAAAAGTGAGAGAGCGGAGGAGAAATAGCCAAGAGAGTCTTGTCATTGGATTCATAATTCAGGTTCATGATTTTAATTTCCCTCTGTTCTTATCAAAGGCCGGTGGAGCAGCAGGGGGAAGGCTGGTAGTTAGCTGGATAACTGCATATGAGATGAGCTGCCGCGCTCCCATCACAATGCCTGGACGACATAATAGGGATGGAAATGTGCCGAGATGAACAGTCTCCAGTCACTCACAGCGACTACAAAAACCCACAATCATCCGTTGTTTACACAAACCCTTTTTTGACATCTTCTCCCTTTTTTCCTCAGAAGCCATAAGCAATCTCTCGCCCCCTAAAGTATATTCAATCACACACACAGAAGGAGTGTGTGCCTGTGTTAAGCCCCCCACAAAAGTACTGCAGATGAATAATGAATTTTGACTGTGTTTGGAGGAAGTCTTTTGATTTGATATTATTCTCTCGTCTATAAAAAAAAGCTGTTCTATCAAAGTGTATATGTTTACTGCAATGTACGAACACTGTCACTAACTAATACATCATTTTAGGTTTGTAGGCAGCTTTTAAATGCAATATGTTTGCTTAGAACAGTTTGAATTGATCATAAAAGGACCTCAAAATAAGTATAGTATAAATTACTAATAATAATAAGAGTAATATAATACTAAAGGGTAAAAACGAATATGGCCACTGCGTTGTGTGTTGCACAAACTAGAGGGTACTGTATCAACCCCGACTCAGAAGCTGCTCCCACCACTCTTACGGCCCGTCTACACAGCGGCGTGCGTTGAAAGCTTCACCATCGTCACTTTTCGCCAAACTGCATTGTGGGAAGCGACGCGGAGCTTTGCTGGCGTGGCTCGCTGCAAAAGTTGAGCAATGTTCAACTTTTGAAGCCTCGGCAGAAGCGTCAGCCAATCGAATGATATGCCAGTACAAGCTCTAGCCAATCAAACCGCTGCTTGTGTGTCAGTGGCGGGAGATTCATGTGATTGGTTGTTGGTCGAGTTTCAGACACGCCCGCCGGCAAGCTTCAACGCACGCCGCCGTGTGGACGGGCCGTTACTTTGAAGGCACATTATACTACACACATGCGCACACACACACACACACACACGTTAATATGTTTGGTTTTGATATCAGTTTCTCTTTCTATTCTTCGGTCCCTATCTTCATATATCCGATCTCGTATTTTCCTTCTCTTTCTTTACCATTCTGTTGTCCTCTCTCTCTCTCTCTCTCTCGCTCTCTCGCTCTCTCTCTCTCTCTTTCTTTCTTTCTTTCTGTTCGTCTCTCTCACCCTTTCTTTCTTTCTTTCTCTTCGTCTCTCTCACCCTTTCCATCTTTTTACCTTTCTTTTGCTTTGGTTCTTACAGGACTCTGTAGTGCCACTGCTCTTCTCAGTCAGCCATTTGATCATTAATTTATCACAGATCTAGCAGTTTGTTTGACAGGTGCAAGTGCTTTCATCTGACTAGTGCCAGGCATTGCTGAAAGAGCGAGGTAACCCAGACCTATATGTTGAGTAAGTAGGGGAGCTTGGAGCTGAATAGACCAATAGGTCTCCCTGCAGAATGAGCGACTGTGCCAACATAGGCCTTCTGGCTAACTGGGCAAGTGAGCTGGCCCGTAAACCAAGACGGTCATCAAGGCAGTCAAACAGGCCTGCAATGTAGCATGTCGAGCCGAACAGCAGAGAGGGGAGTCCAGTAGGTGCTGGTCCCCTTCTTACTCTCTGACATACTGCTGTATGAAGCCACATGTCTGTATTCCAGGTGCAGGCATGATGTGGAGATCTACTCAATGCTGGAGCATCTGCACTTCTAGGAAAGGCTCTACTTTTCACTCTCAGTCCTAAGAAAGGATATCACGAGAACCGATACTTCAGTAACAATTCGATGCCAAATTTGTGAAAACATGATGTGACTCACTTGTCTATAGTACCGCAAGATTAAAAGTTTCTGTAGTTCAGGGAATTATAAGAAATATGCTGTGGACTTGGGGAACTCACTATCAATATGTCTAGAGAGGAAGTAACCTATTTTCACCCTGATGTTTGTTACCATGTGAAAGAAAAAAGTTTTGAAGCCAGTCATACGAAAGCCAGTTAACATCCTCTGTTAGCTGTTAGCATCCGGTGAATGGAAGTTCAATAGAGTTGTATTAGGGTGCGTTCGGTGTGTAAAGATTGTTCAAACGTAGTCTTGTAAAATTTCACTTTCTTTGCTAAACTTCAATAAAACATGTTTGAATGAGATGTATTATGGTTTTACTATTTTAACAACCACTAGTAATTAGGGATGGGTATCGTTTGAAATGTATCGATTCCGATTCTGATTCCGGTTCTGCTTATCGATTCCGGTTCTTATCGATTCCCTGTTTCGATTCCAAAATTGTAAAAGAAAGAGGTCAAACGTTTAGATAACAAAATATCTTTATTCTTTTAAGCTTTAACTGAAATGTTTACAAATAAAAAAATTAGGGCTGTCAAGTTAATGCGTTAATAACGCGTTAACGCAAAAAAAATAAAATAACGCCACTAATTATTTTAACGCGATTAACGCATGTGTACTTTTTTTTCCTCGGCCGCCCCGTAGTTTCAGAGCGCATCGAGTTTAAAATACCATCTACAAGCTGATGCTGACAGCCCCGCTCCTGCCGCCCGCTTGTGGCAGACCACACTTCCACGCTCACCGGCAGGCACCGACTGGCTGTTGGGAGGACCGGGAGGGTGTGTGTACGTGTGGCTCGAGCGAGCGAGAGACCTTACGTGCATTGTTGTTGTTAGCATCTGGTGCTAGCTAGCTGCGCTAACGGCTATAAGGAGCTGTTCAAATGAAAACAGAGGAGCGACATTTCGCCACAACTGCGCCGAGCACTTGACTTTATGCAGGAAGCCAGACAGTGGGACATCGTACGAAAAGTCAACACGGATAGTGTGCAACATGATCGCAGCGTCCAGGCAGCTCCCGTTCGAGCATATGCCTTGAGTTGCACAAGTTGAGTTGCACAAAGTTGAGTTGAGCAACACACACACACACACACACTCTCTCTCTCTCTCTCTCTCTCTCTCTCTCTCTCTCTCTCTCTCTCTCTCTCTCTCTCTCTCTCTCTCTCTATCTCTCTCTCTCGCTCTATCTCTCTCTCTCTCTCTCTCTCTCTCTCTCTCTCTCTCTCTCTCTCTCTCTCTCACACACACACAATTTGTATTGTATGAGAGAGGTTCCAGATTGAATTGAGGCGAATATTTGTAATGTTCAGAAGTTGTTGTGTTTAATATTCATGAGAATTATTTGTCATTGTTCAAATGATAATAAACATTAGCATAAAGCATATTTGTCCACTCATATGTTGATAAGAGTATTAAAAACTTGAAAAATATTCCTCTAAGGTACATTTAGAACAGATAAAAAATGTGCGATTAATTTGCGATTAATCGCGATTAACTATTTTAATCGACTGACAGCCCTAAAAAAAATATACATGCAATACAAATGTATTGCACAATAGCTGTGCTTTATTTTAATTGAGCTATGGCTTTGGCAAGCTATTAACAAGCATTACACTGTGCCTTGTCTTTTTCTTTTTTAGTGTAGTGGAGACTCACTTTAGAGCGTTTACAGCGACCCATCTTTGGTGTTATGAAGTGACTGAGCTCGTGAACTGTCTACGGGAGGGCGGGGGGAGCCTCGCTGCGGGGCAACTGTGGACCTCTGTCGCCTGTCAGCGCAACTTACATGATGCCGTTTAAAAAAATGAAGGGCGGTGCCGGCCGTCAGCGTACCGAGCCGGCCGTCAACGGCCTGCTGACGACCGGCCGTTCTGTGATTCTCCAGAACACACAGATGGCCAGTCCGCCTACCCTGTATTCCACCGGGTCACCGCGGCGCAGACGGACCCGGTGGAATACAGGGTCTACCGTGTTTAGGAACCGTTAAGCAGAACCGGAATTGTGTATTTTGTATGGGTACCCGGTACCCGACATTTTCTTATCGGTTCTCACTTGGAACCGAGTTTCGGTTCCCAACCCTACTAGTAATAGAGTAGTAACCCCCAAAAAGTTACAACCTCAGCAGAACGCAGCTCACCTCCCTTCTTCCAGTACTTTCACATCTGCCCTTTAAACAATTCACTTTCTCTCCTATGACAAGGTGAGGGAGTAGCTTGTTACCATGCCCTGGTTACCATGACCGAAACCTTCAAAACGTTTGGTTGGTGAGAAGACCTCATAAACCTAACACTAGGATGGGTCAAATGCAGAGAAACCATTTCGTCACATAGTACCTGTACTGTGTAATGACAATAATGATAACAAATATATATATGACAGTCTTGTAAACGGGATATTCTCGGGTAACATTGTCATTGTTTTCTCTCCTATCCCATATTCAATAGTGAGTTTTTCAGTTTTTAAGGTCTTACCATACTCCTTATACTGTTTTCACATCCCAGCACTGAGTTACATGAAAGCCATTGCCTCACGATTTAATAAAAAAAAGTAAACGTGTTCTGTAGTGTCATACTTCAATGTTTCTTTCATTGTCCCTCAGAAAGTTGCACATTTTAATATTTTTTGAAAATTATCATAAAACCCAAAATGAAGTCTGTCCGTCTTTCAGTCCGTCCAAGCATCTCTTTGTCTTATCTCTCTCCCCCTCTTTCACTTCAGCAGCAGATCATTAAAAACAGACTTCTTTCCAATATGCAATGGTTCTTCTGCTCTCTAAACTCACCACCAATTCTATTATTAAAGCATTATTTTGCGCAGCTATGAATAACATTGCTTATGTATTATTTATATACATATGTTTCATACTGGATGCTCTGTAAGACCTGCAAGCCAAGGATCTCAGAGGAGGCCTTTCACACCTTTCTTCATCCTGTCCTCCAGTGCAAATTCAGTTTATTTAAAAAAAAAAGAAAAAAGGACATACTTATTTGTTGGTCGAGATTGAATCTTGTTGTTTGAGTAATTTGCAGTACACTACCGAGTTGAACAGTCATACAAAGCCTTTCGATCTTTCTTCACTTTCCAGTAATATTGTAGTCCTCCTGTGTTTTCTCTCGTTCCAGCTTCTTGCTTTCTCTCCCCTCCCTCTATCCCCGGAATCAGGGTCTGCTGGGGCATTTTTAAGACAGAGGCTTCCTGGACTATTTTGGTATCAAAGCTTTGAGGCAGCAAGAGGCATGCTCTCTGAAGTTGACATGTAAGGAGAGGAGGGCCTTCCTCTTTCACTGGTTTGTAGGGGGCAATAGGAGGGGGGGGGGGTACTCAGTAGCCCTGCCAGCAGCGGTCTCTACTGGGGATATGAGCCTCAAACGCTCCCCTTCAAGCCCGGACCCTCCCAAGGCACTGGGGAGGCTTACGTTTCACATGTAGCTGACTGTGTGTGTGGATGTATGGTGCATGAATACATGTATGTGTTTGTGTGCTTACATTAGCACAAAGAACAGTCGGGGCTGAGCTTTGAGTGGCGGAACAAAATGCAATTGTTTCCAACATTTAACATTTATGACCTAAATAAAGCTCCACAAAGCATCTTCAAACATTGGCTTCCCCGAATAGCAGCAGCTGTAACTTTGTATTTTTTTTTAAATTGACAAACATGAATTGATGGTTGTCAATGTGATTGCATTGAGAAAGTCTAAACAAAATGTCCCTGTTGCAGATAGTGTTGGTCGCAGCCAGTTTGAGCTTTCCCTAGATGTGTTCTTATGAACTCCTAACCAGAACATGGTTTTGTC